ATTACAAGAACATGAACATAAACAATTACAAAAAAAACTCATATACTTATCAATATGTAATAAACAATCTTGTAAGTGCATCAAAATTTACTAAGGGTTACTTTAGTTGCCAGTATTTGAATTGTGAAGTAAAATGAAAACGTGTTTTAATTTTTCAGGCTTTTTCTATGAAAAAATGCAAATGCAACCTATTTTTCAATGGTACTTGGAATGCCTAAAAGCCACAATTTTTATGAATTCCAAAATTTTCCAAAATTGACCGAATTTCAAATGCATCGGTGTCTCCAACCCTTAGATTGTGAACCTGCTCCAGAGATCATATTTGTCTGTCAATGACCCCGATCTTGCCATCATGCACTCTCCTTTTCCCCATCCCTAACCACACTACTGCTCTCATAGTCATGCATCATTTTCATCACTTTTCACGCAGCATTCTCTCCTCACTAGGTAGCAAGCCTAAGTTTATTTATTTATTTATTCTTAAGAATATCAAACCGATATCATAACGTTGTCATTGCCCGGTCCAAAGCTCTAGATACTAAAAGTAGAGGGTTGTGTTTGGTGGACGACAGCAAGCGTAAAAATTTTGTCCAAAATTTATGACATGAATCCTTTAAATCATTAAGTCAATGTTACGGCATCCTTCAAAATCAATGCATAGTATGATCTGAATATAAAGACATGTGTGCAAGAGCCATTGCATTGACACTCATGCGTAATGTTAAATAAGCAAGCGGTCCCACATTATAGATGGATGCAAGTAAAAAAGTGTTCATTAAAATAATATTATATTAAGAACTGTATGGGAATTCTCATAGGTAAATTGATATAATTAGTAAAATTATGATTCATAGGAATATAAATATCTTATGCCTTCAAGAAACTAAATTGGTTGGAGAAAATGCTAAGAAACTTACTAGTTTAGATTTTAAACTCTAGTATTTGGATAAAAGTCGTAAAAAAAATTGTAGCTACAATTAAAGTAAAAGTTTGAAAAATAATATTATAAAAATTAGTAGGATTTGAGATATAATATAATTTTAAACATTATTATTGATATTAAAATTTTTAATATTATAAGTGCCTATCCTCCCAACATAGGTTAAATATATATTCAAATAAAAAATTTTGTACAAAAGATATCTCTTAAGGAAAGAATTTTTATTTTTATTGAAGGAGAATTAAATGGAAATGTTGGTAGAATAGTAGAGGATGTTAGAAGTATTTATAGTGACTATAACTTTGGAGTGAATAACGAAGACAGTGGAATCATATTAAATTTTGTTTTAACTTATGATTTTTATTATTTTTAATGCTTTATTTAAGAAAATAAATAACCAAATTATAACTTATTAGAATGGATCAAATAAAACATAAATTAATTATTTTCTTATGAAAAAAATAGATCGTTGATATTGTAAAGATAGTATGGTCGTTCCAATTGAGAATTTAAGTACTAAATAAAGATTATTGATTTGGGATTTCAAGATTAGTGGTTGGAAGATGAAAAATATAACAAAAAATTATCATAAAATTAAATGAAGTCACTTAAAAGACAAATAAATTATTGTTATAAGTCACTTCAAACTCTTAAAATTTGGGACATTCGTGAAGAAGCTAATACTATGTGGGATAGAGTAACGAGTACTATTAAGAAGTTATAAAAAAGAAGCTTGGAGAGTAAAAAAAAAACTCTAATGAATAGAAAGAAATGGTGGTGGCATAATAATGTGCAAGAAAAGATAAAAAATAAAAATTTTTCCTATAAAAATTAGTTTAAATGGAAAAGCTTGAAGAATTGGGAATAATATAAAGTATCTCAGAGGGAGTCTAAGAGAACAATCAATTAAGCTAAAAATTTTATTTTTAATGATATTTATAATAGATTAGAAACTAAAAAGTGATATATATATATATATATATATACACACACACACACACAAATTAGCTAAATAAAAATATATGAAAAGTAAAAATTTAATTTAACTAGAGTGTATTAAGAATGAAAATTAAAAAAATACATTTCTTAGATGAGAATGTTCAACATAGGTGTGCATGATATTTTGATAAAATTTTAAGTAAGATTTTAAAAAATATGATCAATTTTAGTAAACTTAATATCATAAATAATAATTTCTTTTTATTTATACCTTCACATTAGTAAAATAAAAGTTTATGAGGCTATAAGTAAAATAAAGTATAAGAAAATAATAGGACCTTCTAGTATTCCAATAGAAGAGTAAGAATATTAGAGAGATCTAAGAATTTCTTATCTTACTAAACTTTTTAATATTATTTTAAAAACTAAAAAGTTGTCATATGAGTGGAGAAAGAGTTTATTGATTCTTATTTTATTGTTAAGAACAAAGCAGATGCACAATAGCGTGCAAACTATAAAAGAATTAAGTTAGTGTGTCATACATTACATTTATGAGATAGCATCATTGAACATAGGTTGTGATGTGATACAAATTTCTCAAAATCAATTTGGATTCATGTCAGAAAAGTAAACTATGGAAGCTAATGCATTTATTGATAGGCTTGATGGAAAAATATAGAGAGAGTACAGAGGATCTGCATATATTTGTTGTTGATTTAGAAAAAACTTATGATGAAGTTCCAAGAGAAATACTTTGGAGAGTTCTAGAAAATAAAAGTGTTGATATTATTTAAATCCAAGTCATTAAATATACGTTTACTAGAGATGTTACTTGTTCGAACACAACGATGATTGACCAAATGTTTTCAAAATTTAATTGGATTACATCAGGAATTGGCTTTAAGTCAATATCGTTTCGTTTTAGTTATGAATGTTCTTATTGGACATTTACAGAAGGATGTTGCATTGTGTATGTTTTTCACTGATGATATTCATCTTTTGGATAAGACTATAGAGAGTATAAGAAAAAATTGAATTATGGAGGATTAGAGTCTAAAGACTTTCGTTTGAGTAGAATAAAACTGAATACATGGAATATAATTTTAGTAATAATAGACTATAGTAATGAGTGATCAAATGATTAAAATGAGTGAACATTTTAGATATCTCAGATATAATGTTTAAAGTGATGGTGATATAGATGGGGATGTTATTAGTAGAATTCAAGTTGAATGACTGACGTGGGGCAATGAATCTGACATATTGTGTGATAGAAAAGTATCGCTTAGACTTGAAAGAAAATTTTATAAGATAGTTGTGACACTTGCAAATGCCTTATGGCACAGTTTTTGACCTGTAAAAGAGACGCATAAAATTAAGTTAAGTGTTGTTGAGATGAGAATGCTCAAGTGGATGAGTGGTTTTACATTTAGAGACAAATGTGAAATGCATACATCCGTGAAAAGGATGAAGTAGCTCTAGCGGCAGACACGATTAGAGAGAGTCGCCTTAGATGGTTTGGTCACATTAGACGTTGACCATATGATGACCCTGTTAGGAGAGTAGACGTTTTAGATTTGACTTATACTAACAAAGATAGAGGTGGACCTATAAAGACTTCAGCATGTTGTATAAAAAACGACCTTAAGTTATTAACATCTTAATTTATTACAATTAAATAAAGATATAACACTCAATAATAGACAATGGAGTAAAGGGATTCGTGTAGTCAACCCAACTTAGTGGGATAAAGGCTTGTTATTGTGATTTTTGTTGTTCAACCCCTTCATATACCCAATTAAGTTATAATAATCACTAAATTAAAATCCAATATATACTCATTTTTTTCTTCATCTTCTTTGTATAAATATAAGAAATCTAGTGAAACTACCTTCCAAGCAGGCTGATATGCTCGAAAAATCCATTTATTTTTAAAAAAGAATCACCCTAGTATTTTAATGGGATCCCTTTCATCTTTTCAAATTTGTTCATCAAATGAGGTCATGGAAGATAAAAAAGAAGCTTATTGTGGTTAGATTTCTATTCAAATTTCTTTTGTCACATATTATTTCACTGCAATTTGTTAAACACACATTGATGTTGGATTAGCATATTGATATTAATTGTTTATCAAAAAATAAACTCTATGGCTCTTTTAAGTGGTTACTGATGATACAGGCGATAAAGTTTCTTGAATTATTTTTTCTTGGAAAAAGTGATATTTTAGTTCAACTTAGATCTTAAGATCGCCCTAAGACTCTCTTCAAGAATTCTAAGTTTCTTTGGTCTCATAATCGCCTTAGAACCTACTATTATATCTTTGGGATCATTTCATAGAGACCATCCGAAACATTGATATTTACAAATTAAGCAACCATGTGATCTTTTTGAACTACCAAACCACGTATTTGTGCGTGTCACGAGAGTTTGATAAAAACTAATGAGTTGGGGATTTAACATGAATTTTGATATTTGAATGAGAATTTGAAAAAAAGATGAAAGATGGTGGTTGATTTATAAATAGCAAGTTTTGGGTGGTCTGTATGTAATTTTTCCTTCTTTGGGATTGCCTTAATTCAGATCAATTTAGATCCTGGAATTGCCCTACAACTTTCTCTTCTAGGGTTATAAGTCGAGTTAGATCTATAAATCACATTACACCGAAGCAACGAATTCCACAACTTCTCCTTAAATCACATTAAAAGGGAGGAAGACTGATCTCCTATCTCCTCCCAACTGCTACTGTAATAGAATTTAAGTATTACATAGCAGAGATAAGTAAGAACTGACAAACTTAGCCACTAATTCCACTGTATTTATTGTATCCATCGTACATTGCAATCTCAAAATGCCTGGATCCTAAATACTTGTAACAAAATAGCTGAGCAATAAAAATAAATAACGAAAACATGTAAAAAGTATTTTCAAACAGGCACTGGAACGAACAAATATGAAAATAATAATAATAATAATAATAACCTAATTAGCTTAGCATAGGATTCATTTATTCTGCAATCCAAAACAACTTTCCATTTCCCCATCAGTGACTGCAAATAGAGGTTCAGCTTAAGGTTTTACAATAGAAACACTGATTCCTACATGGAAAGATGCAAGATTTTACCTGCGGAAGAACCCACGAGAACGATACCTCGAGGGGAAAGGGTGTCCGAAACCCACTTGCACACGGCGACGACGTCCTCAATCTCCGAAAATCCGGTGAACGATGGCCGGCCGGAGGAACGACCGGCGCCCCTCATGTCGAATGTCACCGCGCGAAACCCTTTATCTGCGAGTCCCGATGCGATCCCCCGAAGAAGCCCCTGAAACCCACCGAGAACTGTGAAGGGGTGCACTAACACAACCACGTAGTCGCTGATTCTCGGGTCGGCCGGCTTGAAGATTCTAGCGCTAAGCTTCACGCCATCGGTAGTTTCAATCGTCGCTGATTCCATGCTTATCCTGCACTAGATAAGCACAGGGAGGGCTGTGGGTGTCGAGATATCAGTGAAGTTAGGGTTTTTTGACGTTGTTTTGAACAAAATATGGGTACAGATGTACACCATAAAGAGTTGCTGAATTGCTGACGAAGGATTACTGTGAAGGAGAATGTATCGAGAATGAAGGAGCCATGGCTTTGTCTACAGAGTAAAATTAGGGTATATTTTAGATGGAGTGAAAATGCTGATTGGCTTTTAGTTTTCAATACAATTAGACCGTTTGGCATGCTGAAAGAGGATATACAGATTATCAATTAAAATTATAAAACTTATACAATTAGTATTAAAAATTTGTCCATAACGCTTGAAATTAGATAAATATGTAATTTATTTGGGAAATTTGCATAATAGCACACAATTCTTATGTATTTACAAATCTCACAGCCAAACTTCCATATTTACGTACATGTCACTGGTGCTTTCAATCTATACATAAAAATGTGTTTTCACTATTTAGAAGGGATAATGGTGTTATTTTTATCGTGACATTTAAGGATTTGAGTGTTGCATGTAAAAATTAAAGTTTAGTTGTGAGATATGAAATAGATGAGAATTGTGTTATGCATGTAAATGCCCTAAGTTATTTTTATTGTGGGTTGGTAAATTTGTGGCGTTAGAGTGATATGTTAACGCTCTAGTGATGTAAGAAAGTCCAACATACACACAGATGAAAGAATAGCTAATAGAGGAGACATTGGATGTTGTTAAGTGGAAAACCCAAAAAGATAAAAACCACGGGTCTTAACATTGTTGAAATGATTTCACTATGTCAATATATGTTACAACAATTTATCGTCCCTTAAATAATCAGAAGTAATATTACATAATTGGGGTTTATCGACGTGACTTCCACTATGGGAGTGGTATAATATTTTGGGGAGATAGCCACGACTCGACTACTTCGAAGGAAGGTCAACATTAGAGGTCGTGTGCCATAAAAGCGGCAGATTAACGATGGTGATTCGATGGTGGTGACGGTGGTGGGCCGGCAACGGAGGTCCGATGTTGGTGTTAACCCAATGGTGGTGGTAAGGATCTATTTGATTGGGTCATTTCGGGGCAAATTGATCATTTATCATAAAGAAGGTGAGCTTCAAGTGAATGAGTTAGAGTTCTTGCAAAGTAGAGCCATGCAATAACATACATAAGATAAATCTTCCAAAAGTAAGGCTTTTTCAAACAAGCCAATTCATTTAAGACCAATCCATTATTTTCACTATTCAAAGAGCAACCCTTTGTTTCCATGCTTTCGCATCAAGAATTCTTTGCGGGTAAAGAGATCTCAAAGAGGTTTATTACTTCCCAAGCAAATCCTTCTGCATCTACATAGAAAATAGAAACGCAAGAAAAAACTTCGAATTGTTGTTTTACAACCTACTGATGATCTGGCCAGTTTGAAACTACTTCTGACCTCACACAACGAGAAAAGTTGTTTATGAGCAATGGGCGAGTCTTGAGGCAAAAAAGTGTTCTTTGAACGTTATTATGCCCTTATGATGAGTGGTTTTTGTGGGGCATAGCACGTCTTGAACTTGTGATCATTAGGTTAAAAGCTCAATGCTTAACCAACTAAGATATACATATGATTTTACAATTGGTCCGGCAACAATGAGGATGGTGGTCAGGCAGCGATGGTTCGATGGAAACAGTGGCCAAAAGATGATGGTTTGATAATGGTCGACAAACAACAATGGATGATGGTCGTGGCAAGGCAACAATGATTCTGTAATCGTGGTGGTCTGATTACAGTGGTCCAACGGTCACTACGCTGGTGGCCGATAAGCAGCTGTCCAAAGGTGTCAGCTGTGGTTTGGTAAGGATGATAGTCATGTTCAGATAGTAGTGCTTCAGTAGTGGCATCGGCTAAATGATGGTGATCTTGTGGCAATAATGGTGGTGTCGGGCAAAGGCGGTATGACAATGGTTGCAACCAAATGACGATAATGATGGTGATCCAATGACGACAATGGTCAGCCGATAGTGGCTGATGCTGGCCAAATAACGGTGGTCTGACAATGGAGCCAGCACAATGACCACGATTCAACGACAGGAGAGCTTGGAAAGTTTCAAAAGTTTGGAGCTCAATTCAACCTTCTTCTCTGGTCTAAGACCCCCAATATGAAGAGATTGGAGGTCTATTTATAGATTTTTGGAGTGTCATTCTCTATAAATACTACGTGAATCTGGATCACTCCATCAGACGATCCAGAGTGCTTCCCTTAATTGAATATAGTTTGATGAGTATTTGAATGTCATAAAGATGTCAGAATTAAGTAATCTTAGGCTCGTCAGATTTTTCTCATCGAGACAGTGGATTTCACTATGAACTGACCATATTTGGAGATTATTTTATCCCTCAAATTAAAAATTTTTGCAATATTAATTAGTATAGAAAATTAACTTGAAATTGTAATTCTAGTACAAAAGAAATGATTTTACATAAAACTCTTGAATCACATGTCCTAAGTCGCTAATGGGATCTGCTTCCAGGAGAGATATAGAGTGTCATAGCTATTCTTGTTTATCTTTGTGATGTGTATCACAGGCAGCCTAGATGCAAAGAGTCTGAAATAGAAATATTAGTTACCAAAAATATCAAAAAATATCATTGAACTTATTATATATAAGAAATAAGTTATGAGTTTCCCTTCGGATCAATGTATACTCGTCCAAAGGTATCCTATCTTAGAGGGGTTAGAGTGGAGGGGTCCGGCTACTCGAAGGAGGGCGCTGGTGCTTGAGAGGGAGGTGTTGGTTGAGTGGGAGGTAGTGGTTGAGTGGGAGAAAAAGAAGGTACGAGGAGTTGCATTGGAAGGAGTGGGTGGAAGAAATGAAGCAATGGGTCTGATTAGAATTGCGACAGAAGGTGCAGTAGGGGTTGTAGTGACAATAGTGTTGCTAGTCAACACAGAACTAGTGTTATGTGAGGAAGAACAAGATACCAACTTCTTTATCCTTCTATAAATGCTTGGGTTCATTGGCTAACATGGAGGTTGATCTCCACCACCAGTAGAAGCCATCTATAAAAGGATGCAATAAATGAATAGAATTAGTACAAAGTAACAAAAGTAAAAATAGATAAAGTAAGCATGAGCATAATATCAGTAGCAAAAGTAAAAACAGGAAAGTGTTAAATTAAAACAAGAAACACATTGTAACTACATGCAAGCACATCAACAAATAAAAGCAAGAAGACGCATAACATAAAGAAATAAAAATCTAAATAAACATATCACTCTTAATAAGTTTTATTAGAGGAGTTAATTGATGATGAAATTAAAAATTCTTCATTTGTATCATTATTATTGTCATCTATAATATGAGTAACCTCTTCAAAAGCTCTAGTTGTATCCTCCGGTGAGAACATTTCTTAAATAGAATCAAGCTAGATACAAAAATCTCACATATCTTGCTCTTGGTGAATGGGTTTACTAATACTTTGTATCTCAATAGTTCTTTTTGGTTTATTCTTCATAATGACGACCCAATCCAATCAATTTTATCACTTGTTCTATCAGAACATTGAATGTAGTAAATCCGAGTTGTTTGACGTGCTAGAATAACTGGACATATACATATAGGGATATACATATAGATATATACATACATATATATATATATATATATACATATACATATATAT